CTGAAACTGTTGAAGAGTCTGTAATTAGGTTAAATGATATTAGAGTAAAATACATCTTGCATAATTAATATTCTATTTCTTTTTCTATTCTAGAAAATTTGTATACATAGAGTTGTGATATTCGATGAAAAGCAGATTAAGCATTCTTAACATGACATCAGGACTATGTTAAAAAACTCTAAACTCTTTTACAAACTCTACTTGACCCTCATTGCTGAAATAAGAAACCCTAGGAAGGCAGCCTTCATTAACGTCACCCTCCATCACTAACCTGCCTTCATTGCCGATTGCAGCAGCTCGGCTGCAGGTCCAGATTCCTCCAGCCGTGTCTCAAGGTTTTCCACATAACACACTAACCGTTCCCTTGCAAGTCTATCCAGCCGCCAAAACCACACACTTGCAATTGCCGCACGCCCAGACCCCTCTGACATGTGCCCCTGCCCAACCAACCTGTCGCCAGCACCACACATCTGCATCTTCCATCCACCAAACTCTCTGTTGCGTGCCCCTGCCCAGCCAGCCAAGCCGCAACCACAGGCCCAGCTTCCTTTTCTCCGCATGCCTCAATCCAGGCTGCCAAGACCCGTGCCACCGCCTTCCTGCTCAGCCGCTCAAGGTGGTGGTTCTATTCAGGGCACACAACCGCACTATCTACTGGTAACATCCTTCGGTCCTATTTGGGCTACAACTCTTAAAATATATCGGAGGTTACATCCCAAAGTGCAGGAACAAATTCCCACATGAAAAACTCTACTAAAAACAACAACTTCAGCCAATCCAAGTTACTTATCGCTTTAGCAGGAAGGACTGCTTGAGCTTTTCGCAATTAATCCCGATCACTCTTAAAGGAAAAGAAAAGCTTAGCCACCTCTTCGGCACTGGACCAACATCAAGAGACCCCGCATTTGACACATGGGATGAGGAAGACTCAATCATCATGGTCTAACTCTATGTTGTCAGAGATGAGTAAAACAGTTGTGTTCCTCTCTATAGCTAAAAAAGTGTGGGATGCAACCAAAAAAATATGTTTGAAAGTCAAAGATATAACCCATATTTATGACTTGAATATCAAAACACGGTCCACAAAGCAAGAAAATGGGTTAAGTCATTAAATATTCTAACATTTTGAAAGGTTGGTAACAGGAATTGGATCAATACCGAAGTAGACTGCAGTAAGAACGCAACCTGCCTCAACAACCCATTCCTAAAGATCAGGCCTATCAGTTTATGGCAGGACTCAACTAGAAGTTCGATCAAGTATGGTTCCTAATCTTAGGTAAGGACGAAATATCATCACCAAATAATGAGGTAATTGTTATTCTACCAGTAGAAGAGAGCAGGAAAGGGATTATGTTAGAATCCCAACCCACTGAGAGCTCAACACTAATCTCCTAAGACCCCAAGCCACGCCAACCAAACAAAGGAACTAAGTTACGTTGAAAATTTAGGGTCTAGTGCCGACAACGGGGATAATCTTTGATGTATTTTCTACAAGAAACTCAGGACACACCAAAGATAAATGTTGGAAACTTCATGGCAGACTGAACACCCCAAAGAAGGAGCGGGGTTACAAGAACACTCCATAAAAGCCCCACAGACAGGCCCATGTTGCCCATCAAAGGGAGGAGGACAAAATTACTAATCTCAATGAATTCAAGGCTAAGATAGAACGACCATGAAGCAGATTAGAGGATCTTGATAAATCCACAGGTACAAGTCTGATGAAACACTTAGATATCCTTTCTCCTTTCTTACTCACAGGTACAAGGACTAAGTAACCCAACATTCCAGACTAACATTGACAAACTAGGTAGACAATATCTATTCTCTAGCTTGAGGAAGAATATTAAAGAGAGTATGCAATTAGCTTAAGGGGTATTAGAGTAAATTACACCCTATGTAATTAATGATTTATTTTATTTTTTATTCTAGAAAATCTGTATATATAGAGTTGTGACATTCAATAACAAGCACATCAACCATTCTTAACAGAAACAATTTCCATAAGCAAATGATGAAGTTTATTGATGTACCTGAGCTGGGCGAGGGAGCAAGTTCTGATGTTATACTAGTACTACGATCCCCTTTATCAGTCTCCAAGGAAGATGACTGAGCTGCAGATGGTGATGCTAGATTCTGAAAGCCAGAGAAAGTGGCTCCTTTACCTGTCTCCACTTGGCTAAAATCATGGCCTTTAGATTCATCGGGATCCTCAAAAACTGAAGGTCTTTGTTCAAAGTATGGAGAATCCAAAATTATCTCTGGCTGTCGGCTTAAAAAATTCAACCTCATGTCACATTGAATAAGCTTCTCAAAATGTTTGTTTAATAGCCCTTGAGGACACTGCAGAAAATGTTGCCTGCAATATCAATATAGCATCAGTATCCATAGCCTCATTCATAAGTAAAGATTCCATTAAGTCTCCGCAACATAAAACTAATGCACAGATAAACTTAGTGACTGCCCAAACTGTGCATGATTAAATCAATTAAATGAATTGAAAATGAAATGATCAGTCCTTAGTTTTAAGTATCAACTTCATGCTCATTATGAAATTCCTATCTCAAAATCCCAACAGTTTATTTTTCTGTCAGAGGACTTGATCCAAGGAAAAAAGTCTTCCAAGAAAACAAATGCCTCCATCACTCATTCTAATAGATGGGAAGCAAGACAAGGCTTTCAAAAATTGACAACTGAGCAAAAGACAAGGAAGATTTCAGTGCTAGCAACTCGAGCTGAAGATAGCAAATTACAATTGAACTCAATGGAAGAGAGTCACAATCAAGTAGGCACTGCATAATCAATGACTTTATGAACAGTTTGTTGCAATGACCTCTCAAGTAGAAGTGTCGACATGCACACAACAATGTACAATTCCACCTTACAGTACAACATACCAAGCGGAGCTTAACATGAAAAATATCAATGCAAGTTACACTAAAATAGATTCTCAAAGGACTATATTGGAAAATTTTGATAGAATACAGCTCATTCTAAGGTATTCAGCATGTGAAAATGAAGACAGCAGCAAAATAATCTCCACCTATGCATGCTAGCTTGACCATCAGTAAAATCTGCAGTTGCCTGCCACAGTGTATGCTTTCTGGGCTGCGGATTAGTTTCCCTGAAAAAAAGAGGTTGCCTAGCCAGCTGCATCACCCATGAGATCACAAATAAGCCACAGATGCTACAACACTAAGACCAACCACATAAAAAAAAGAAGGGAGGAAGGGTGGGAGGGGGTTGTGTGACAGAGGAATCTAGAAAGACTGAGAGATAAGAGAGCACATTACCACAACATTCAATGTTCCAGGCCCATTATCAGGACAGTTTGCCTTCAAAGCCATTATATCTGACCACTGGATTTCTATTTTACTCTTCAGACCACCTTCAAGAACTTCCCAAACAAGTTTGTGCTTGGCAAAGTAACACTTTGCCACTAAGTCACCCTCATATCTTGATTTATACTGCAACCAAATATAATAATCAATTTGTCGACCAGAGGGCCAATAGCATGCACGAAGACGTTAAAAAGCAGGACTAAATGTACTGGACATACCTCCCAATGCCCAATCCTCAGAAGAGAAGCCGGAAAGTTTGAAGCCTTCAGCTTGTCAGTAGTGCCTGAAGCAGCAGTTACTTTACTCTCTTTCTTAACAACCGAGGTGATACTATCACTCTGCGTGGCTACTACAGCTGCACCACTACCTTGAGAGAGCCTCATCTGTATCAAGTCCAATAGGGATGGGCTCTTCCTCAGTCGCAAACCCAGAGGACTAGGCTCATCAAGCGGGTTATATTGCGAAGGTGGTATCGGAAAAGCATTAGTCTCTGTACTCCATTGCTAATTCATAAAAAAACAAAGAACTAAATCCGATAAGGAATAACTAATAGCAACCAGAAACCAATAATAAATAGGTAATTAAGACCAGATACCAAAAACAGCTTTTTATGAGGTGGCAAAGTAGAACATAATAACAGCGAAAAAATTCCTCCGTGTTCAAAGCCGAGAACAGTATTAAACAAAAAAGATTATCAGGCTCCTGTTATATCTAAATGATAGAAACGGTCGCCGAGACATCGAGAGGGGAAAATACAATTGTATCTATGTAAAATCATAAGATTCCATAGTTTCTTCCTTTAGTTTTCCTGAAAACCAAACTGGACCATGAATCTTTCTCCCAACCCACCTCAGCGTGTAAATACCACAAAAGCACATGCAATCTAAAAAATAATAAATCAAAATTATAAAGATAATAAAATCCACTCAATTTTCATTTACTTATTTTTTCATTTCCACTTAAGCAAAATCTAGACCACCGTTTGGATCCAAAGATTTGGGTTATATATTTCCTGTCTATTCCCTCGATTGCTTCCTTGGCAACAGAATGAAAGAAAAAAACAGCGAAACCGATCCAGTACCTGCTGAAGAGAAGGAGAGGCCTTGGATCGCTTGTTGAGAGGGCCGTGTTCTTCATCTATAGAGTCCTCGACGATCTCCAACTTCACCGGCACCTTGTCCCGACAAGACGTCGTTTCAGGCTCCGGCTTGAGATTCCCCGATTTCATCAACTGCACCATCCAATCAAAACGCTTCACACTAGACTATCCAAACACGACGGAGAAAGATCTAATTTTCCGACAAAATAAGAGCGGATAAGAATGAACGACAAAAAACAAAAACGATTTCCCAATTTTGTCAAAGAGATTATCCGAAGAGGATTGAAAATCTCCAAAGAAAACCCTAAGCGCAGCAACAACTTGGAAAACATTAACGGTGTTAAGACAAGGAAAGAGCCTAAGAGACGGGGAAGACGGGGATCTTTTTGACGGCGAACACGTGCTGAATCCCGCGTTACAGCAATTCTCACGTGTGTTTTGACCGCGATTACGTGAAATACCCAAAATAGCCTCGCCGTTGGCACCGCATGTGCGGTGGATTTTTTGTCATTTTAGGAAAACAAAGGGCGTTTTCGAGAAGGTACGTGCTGGCAAAGACAGACACGTAAGGATTTAAATGGATATAAATGTAGGGCCCGCATGTCTTCAAAATGACGGCGGTTGTTGGATTGGCTTGGACACGTGGCTAGTGATCCGGCCGTGAGCTCGCGATGCACGTCACCCGTCCGACACGTGGAATGTTTTGAGATTGATGACAGGAGATGTATTATTGTGTGGTGATCCTCACTGGATCTCCATGGTAACCTTCCTTGAATCACCCGCATCCTTGCAGCTTTATAAGGCTAACTAATCGGCATATGTCCTGTTTGGTAGAAATTTACTAAAATTATTAATGATATTCTAATTACGTAATAATAAATATTATTTACATTTTATAATAATTAATTAATATACTTTATTAGTTAATTTTTATTTATATATATGGCAAAATAGTGAAATATTTTCAAATTTCAAACGGAAATGGGTTATTAGTATTTTTTTTTTCCTAAAATATGACAAGTATATAAATGCTACAAATTAAAATAATTTCCAATTAAAAATGTAAAATTAAATGGATTTATTTAATCTTTACAATTGTCCCAGTTAAATGCACACAATTAATAATTTATTTACAAATAAAATTCAAAAATTTTAATTAATAATTTTTTTTTTTCGTTTATATGCGTTGATTATATAACATACTTATGTCATCTAACATTATAATTATGGGTAGTAACATTTATATTTTTTTTAAAGTTTTTATGAAGTACCCTTTTTAAAAGTTTGAAGTCATATGCCATTATAAGGCTTAAAAATAATAATAATAACATATTTATCTCATTTAATTAAAAAAAAAATAACGTGGGTATTGAGTTTAATTTAAATTTAAATTTTATAAAATAAATACCAGAATATAATATAATAAAATTTAAATAAAAAATAATTTAATGTCTTCTTTAATTTAAATATATTGACATGTAAAATAACTTATTTGCATGCTAAATTAAATTACAATGTTAAAATTTAAACAGAAAATAGATTGTAAAAACAAATAATATCAATTTTATAAAAATAAAAAATAAAAACAACCAAGGAATTTAACCTCAACAATTATTCACATTTTATTTAAATAATTAAAAAAAAATCACTTTCAACTTAATATAATATTATGGTATAATAAAAAATAAAAATAAATAGTCGAAATATTCCATACGGGACGTTAACAGAGATGCCAAGCCCATAAGAGACAAAAAAAATGGACCCCCTCGTCCTTGGGAAATGACGCCTGGCCCCTGCGCCTTGAGGAGCGGTGCGCGTTGGCTGCTTGCCAGCCTCATCTTGTCAAGCCGCCGAAAACGACTTGCCGTTTTACGGTCAAGGGACTCGTGTAAATTACTTTTTCCAAGGCATTTTTTAATTAATAATTAAATATTAAATATTAATTAATAATTTATATAATATACTTACACAGTACCAAATTCTACGTACTTGGTAAAATTTAAATTCATAAATTTTACAAGGATGTTGTTTAATGATTAATTAAAAGCAGGTGTTCAGTCAAGACTCTCCAACCTTAATTTTAGTATGAAACATTTGTCAACTTCCAACTACCAAACTCATTATCTCAACTTACAAATGCATATACGACTGATCTCATTACAATGACTGCTAGATATATTGAGTATATTATATATCTATACAGAACTTTCTAAGCTTCATATATTAAATATTAAAATGTAATATTTAAATTATGATTCTTTATATATTGACTTTAGGGGGGAAGAAATTCAAAGTTCCAAGTATGTTTTTGTAGTTCTTGTTTAAAACGTTAACAGCATGTTTACTTCACTTCTTATTCTATTCCTAGTTGATTTTCATAATAATTGTAATATGTGTTATTACAAAATCTTTACTCACACCTTGTATTCCTTGAGTATGGCAAGTAGAAATTAAATTTCTACACTAAAGAAATTCAATATGGAGAAAGAATAGGTGAAATATGGAAAATCATGGTGTAAATCATACATAATGAAGATTATTATGAAGATAAACTGTGAGAGTTGGCAAGAAATGGAACCAAAGACTACCTGATATTTCTTGCTAAATCAGATCCAAGAGTTCGAGAGGGACTGATCCGCAGTTTACCTACTTCACAAAATAGGCAATCTATGGCTTTTTTTTTTCTTTTTTTTTTTTTCCATTTCGAAACATCCGGCACAGGAATCCAACCACAAATTCTAGGAATGAAGAACGAAGTTAACAATGATATTATTCTCTCTTACCAGCAACAACCGGCGCTGTGTAGGAGAAACTGGGAAGAAAGTGCGAAAAAGGACATGTATGGACAATTAATTGGTAGGAAAGGATCAACTAAACTCGACTCAATTAGATGCCAAAAAACAATCAAAAGCATTTGCACGGAGCATGATAAGTTATCGGAGAACAAACCACATAAGTATTTTCTATAAGATGTAACAAACCGTTTCTACTTAGCCTGCCTATTCACCTTCAGATACGGCAAGGCCCCAATCACGTTGTCATAATCACTGCGGCTGACAGGGTGCTGTGCATAAGAACAAACAGAAAAATTATATAAGAGGTGAAGTTCTCAACTAGGAAAAATTATGTAAGATTGGCAGGTTATGATATCAGGAGATAATGTCTACAACGAACAAAATTTGCATCCTTGCAACCCAGCAAACAACTAAGTATCTTCCCCCAAGAGGAAAAAAGGGAAACCAACTTATTGCCAACTAACTGCTTTTGCTTAATGTTGAATCAAAGGAGAGCACAAAGGAATTCGATTTTGACACTTAATGGTAGCTGTATAAGAGCCCATAGCATTTTGCTGCATTCAAATGAGCTTTATTTATTTCTTGTAAAATTTATTTTTAGGCACTTATACCATTTATTTATATATGGAATTTGACTAATAATACCATGAAATGCCTATTGCCCAATTGCTGGAACTCAGACCTGGTTTTACACCATGAATTAAGCACTCAAAATATCAAAAGAGACCTTCAACAATGATGGAAGCCAAGAAGAAGGAATAGCAATGAAGCAACAATAGACTGCATGCCAAACTCAAACAAACAACTAAACAGTTCTCTCTCCTTTTTTTGGAGCTAGCTAACAAGGGTTTGGGATCATATGTTTCAATAATAGCTGGGTTAAGCCATACACCCACCCTTATGGAAGCAATGTATGCAGGTACTGTATTAAGCTGCATGGATGTAATGCCTTCCGACTTCTGAGATTGGCAGCTACTATACCATCCACTGTCTCCCAATCACCAAAAAATATTAAAGGAACTCTAGAATATCAAAATTAGCACCAATCTTCCCTAGCACATTTCTTTTATCCTCAGCTCATACAATAAGCGTATTCAGATAAAACTCAAAGATTAGTAATAAGAAACATAGGGATTTGAGCTCTTCCATGAGAGCAATAAGAATACCTAAAAGAGATGGTGTTACCATGAGAGCAATAAGAATACCTAAAAGAGAAGGGAATAACACCATCGTATTCTCAATATTTGGTTACTTAATGTTTTCCATCATCATTATTCAGCTAAACACATGGCCCAGATAGAAATAATGGTAGTCTAAATCACTCAATAGAACACAATAGTTTAGCCTCCATTAAAGAAAAGTTCCCTGTTTCATCAAAAAGGAAGATGGTATTTTTTTGGTTTAACAACTATTTTCCAAGCTCATTCATTAGATTTGACAATCCTATAGCTCCCAATTTATCCATATGCAGGATCTCTATGATGCTTCTCTTTTTTATACTCATCTGCCACACGACATAAACAACTACTTCACCAATTTGGCTAGTTATGGCCGAGTTTCCAAACTAGTCCTCCCGCTCTCCTCTTTTTAACTTAATGCAAAGACTGCTGCACCAGGAATAGGAGTACTATTTCATGAAGTGAGGTTATAACCTTCTATTTCTAAAATTCATGGCCCAAGCTTACCACTAATTCTTGATCATCTCCTTGTTTCATATTATCTATTGTAAACCACCGTATCTCCATATACTAACCAAAGCTGGAACTAATAAATTTAGAGTAGATGCTATCTATTCTCTCCTGCTTATAGGAAGGGAGGACAACTATTTCAATTGAAAAAATGGTAAGTGAAGCCATATGTATAAGAATCTACAATTGTCTCCCTAGTTTAAAGTAAATTAAAAAAAGTCAAATTATTACTATAACTTTATACCCTTTGTCTATCTTCACCTTATGACTTCTATTCTATAGTCCAACCTCTACTGTCAGTGAACTATAAAAATAAATATACAAGTTATAATAGCTCCATTTTCAACCAAGTTAGAATAGTTTCTCTTTTTTTTTCCTAATTGGAAAATATAGAAGCATAGAAAATGATAAATTTAAGCAAGAAAAGGAATCAAATCACTTGCCCATTTAGTCTTAAGCAAGAATAAGCATAAGGACGGAGTGAAACAAAATCAAACATCACGTACGCAAACACGAAGAGATTTTCAGGAGGTAAACAAACCATTTTGGAGAGCCGCAGTTTTCTCTTTGTGTTCTTCTTGGCTAACAAGTGTTGCTTGCCAGCTCTTCTCCTCACTATTTTGCCCCTACCTGTCACTCTGAATCGCTTTGCCGACGCCTAAGAAAAGAACAAACGCCCAAGCTTATTCTTTATTCACCGCCAAAAAAATTGAAGATAAACAGCAATGACCAGAAAGCTATGATCCCAAATGTCGAATTTTCATGAACTGGACATTCTTGCTGTATAAAGTTTAATCTACTAACTTAATTCAATTTTGATGGGCAAGGAAACTAAAGATATTACAAATTCTCTTTCATTTTTTGTTACTTTTTCCAGCCCTTTATCGGGAACCAAACAAAAGGAAACTCCAAGAGATAGAAAGAGACCTTGTGAGTTTTCATTTTGTAACCTTTAGCAGCGAAAACTGTGAGAGACTGAAGCCTCTGAGGAGTGGAAGGAGCGATAGCGCATAGCTTCTTGGGAAAGAGTGAACAAGAGCCGGAAATGCAGTTACTCGAACTTAGACTCGACGTGCTGCTCACCTTGTTGAATCGGGCGAGTTGAACTGATCCGTGAGAACTACGGCTCGGAGAAAGGTAAGAATGAGTCGGCCAAAATCTCGTCAGAAACGAAATTGTTGCTAAGGCAGCCATTTTTCTCGTCTCTTTTATCTGCCCCCCTCTGGGTTGGATTTGAAGAAAAGGAAGAAGAAGAAGATAGTCCTACGTAGTAACGTGGAGGACGTCGTGTGGATAACGAGGAATGTGGCTCCAAGTCTACTCACGAGGTACTCATGGACTGCAATGCACACGCAGAAAACTCTACCCGAGCCAGGCCCAGAGACTGTTTTTTACCCTTCTTCCTTTCTCACTTGAATTTGTAATTATTTATAAATACTACTTTTCTAATAAAAAAATTTATAACTTAATTTAATTATTTAAAAAAAATTAGTTCCCATATAATTTTTTTATTAAAATATTAATTTAATTAATTAAAAAATATAATTATCACGTAATATTTTTTATTTAAATACATCATAATTAGTTGTATCGTTGAAAAAAATCTATAAATCTTAAATACGTATGATAAAATATGATGAAATTTTAATCCATGTGATTTTATTTTATTAAAGTTTTAATTTAAAATAATTTATGTAACATAAGAATTCAATATAAATTTTAGATAAATTATTTTTTTATAAAATTATTAGGTTTTATTAAGCTATTTTTTATAAATTTTTATTATTTTTTTTCTTTAATTTGTTTTTATGAAAATTTTTATAAATATTTTTTGTAACGAATCCGGAAATCTAAAAAAAAAATATATAATAATTTAAGTGTAGAAGTAAAATAAAAAGTTAAAATTTACATTACTTACACAATAACTTAAAAGTGCTAAACAATATTACGGAAAGTAATTTTTTAAAAGAAATACGAGAATAAGAAAATAAATGGAAAATAGAAAATATTTAGTATCTACTCGCAATGTTCTTACGGATCGAACTCTGAAAATTTTTTCTCTTGATCTGAAATGGTTCAATAAAGAATGAGATAAATTAAGTCAATAAGAATATCATATTATATCACCGGCACAGAAACAAATGTTGGTATAAAATAAAAAACCATTAATGAAGCACTAAATTTAGTAAATTCATTTATCAATCATACAATCATTTCTCATTCACTTATTATACCAGAATTTACGAAAACAACATATAAAAACAATAATACCATACAGATAATAATTTCATAAATAATAAGGTAACATAAAACATATTATAATCCATATCCATTAACAATAAACCAAACCATAACTGTTTCTCTTTTTACCATCCTACTAGTATCCATGGGAGTTTATAGGAATGTCTCCGCTACACGTGAATCATTTCCTTTAACAATCTCAATTATAGGACCGTCCCCATACCCCGTTCGGTATGAGCACCAAATCATTAAACCTCAATATCTCGTCCTGTATGAGGGTGAAGCAGACTGTCTCCATACCCAATCCGGTATGAGCGCCAAATTATTCAGTCTCTATACCCCGTCCGGTATGAGACAACGTTCACGGTAGGGTTCCCTACGTACCCAATCCGTCCACCATCTCCTAAAATATTTAGTAAGGCTGATTTTTCATCTAATCATACAATTTCATTACCGTTTAAACTTCATTTTTTCTAATTCAACAGTAAACACGTAAAATAAACCATACATGCGTTTAAAGCCATAAAATAAATAAATAAGATACCATCATGCATGTAAACTGTAAAAACAATCAATAACAGTAGTAGATAATTTTCGGTTCTGACTCCATTAGCAACTCGTAATTAATTATGCATATTTACTAAAATCGCATAAAATACCAAATTATTATTTATTTAAACTTCAGTTCTATGATAGAGAATAGGATGAAGGATCCTTACTCGATTTAACGCTGAAAAGCTAAACAGTTTACTACGCCTACGGGCGGTCTCTGGGTTCCCTGAATTTTTTTCTCCGGGAACTAAAACGCGCTTACAGTATTTACAAATGTTCCAAATAAATACAAAATCAGTCCCATGACCCACTCAGCCAATTTTAAAAATCCAGCACGGCGGCAGTTCACCTCAGGTCGATCGTTTTCGACCGATTTTGCATCGATTCTTGCGAGCAAACACGTTAAATGGTCTCAATTGGCCTAAAAAATACGAAAAATCGAAATTCACCGGCGACGGGGCTCTCCAGTGCGGCGGCTCCTCCAGCTCACGTTGCGGTTGGGTATTTCGAGTCGGTCAACTTGTAAAGAAGAAAACGGTGATTACGACGGTGGAAAAATTACGCAAAACATAAATTGGGAAAGGCCTCATCGGAGGCATTTTGTGAAATTTCCTGCGGCGGCGCTGCCAGACTTTGCCGATATTTTCTGGCCAATTGGCCGGTCTTTTCACTCCAATTTGGCCATGGGTAAGCTTAAAATTAAATTTTGTGCAAAAGGAAAAGTTTTTAATTTTTACCTCTTTTAGCAGTCGGAAAGGGTTCCAGTGTGGCGGCGGGTGGTGGCAGTCGGCTCCCAGGCAGCTGGGTCGTCTTCTCCAGCGAGGGGTTCTAGTGACTAGGGTTAGGGTTTGTGCGGATGGGGGTTATTTATATCTATCCGCTTTTGATCTGGACCGTCCATCGCGATTCACTTTGAGCCGTCCGATAGCGTTTGAATCTAGCATTCGATCACGTTTGAGAGGGAGTACATTCAAGTCGTCCGTGCGGGCGGGAATGGACCTCAACCGTTCGATCCCGGACACACAGATCGCCCACGTGTCCCCCCCTCCCTCCAGCGTAGCCTCCCGCATCAGCGCCTCTACCACTTGGCATGTCCTGATTGATCCGAACTACTGACCCGGCGTCTGACGTGACGAAACTTTCTAAAATTGTGTTTTAGCCCATATTTTTCGATTTTTAAAAAAAAAATATTCTTAAAACTTAAATTTTCACTCTTTTTTTTCAAAATTATTTTCAATTAAATTATTATTCAATTTTATTTCATTTTTTTACTCTAAACTAAATAAAACAAAATACATTAAAATAAAATAAATTAATAAAATTAATATTTATTAATTATTTAATCACAACAAAAAATTTATGGGAGTTATATTTTTAAAATATTAAGACAGTCGTAAATGTTTATTTAGATCATGCTATGTAATTATCAATATATATATATATATCAAATACTGAATAATTAGAAAAATACCATAATAGAGTTTACATTTAAATAGAAACAGACTACAATAACTCAAACTATAATCTTTAACTGTTTTCACATTCATATATACATATATATGTTATGATTATATGCTATGCATTGTCTTTCATCCACAGCATGAAACATATGATCCCCTAATCAAATTTGTAAGTTCCTCACTATCATCTCTATCTTTTATTCAGAGGAGTGAGCGTGAGACTCGAATTTGAGACAATTCAACTTCAAGTCTAGTCATTATGCCATTAGTTAAGTCAGTCTCGAATTCGAGACAATTCAACTTCAAGTCTAGTCATTATGCCATTAGTTAAGTCAGTCTCTTTGGCAGCTTCGATTTCTCAGGCCTTCTCAATGTCGGTCTTTTTTTCCTCACCTATTAGTTGACAGTCGTGAAAAAATTGGTATGTGGTTTATTCGAAAGTAAACCTTCAAGATTACCTGTTGTAGTCCCTCAACCATCTCTCTTTCAATGCTGTTTGTAGTCAAGCACAAGTATTCTAACTGGAGGATGCGGTTCCATTGCAGGAAATCTACAGACTTATCCATGGTTAGTGACAACAGGGAAAAGTGCAGAAAGAAAAGAACTGAAGTTGGAAGTTCGAACAGTTACACTATAATTTAATATTTTCAATTTATTTAGGCCATATTTGGAAAAAATTTATCACATTTATTTTAACCATAAGAGGTTAAGAGTCCAACGTTAAAGTGATAAAAATTAAATTCATATGGAAATCCATATGAAATTGGAATAAGACAATTCAAATCATACTAAAATTGATGGAATTTAGAATGTATTGATTAATTTTGCGTGAATTTTATATATATATATATATATTTTTCATCTAGTACAATTCTCCTAGTTAATTTTGCGTGAATTTTATATATATATATATATATATATATATATTTCATCTAGTACAATTCTCCTAGTTAAACCGTTAGATTTGCAAATGAATTCATCATATTTCTAGATTTATTCCAAACAAAAACTTATGGTATTCAGTAGATTTTGAGTTTCATTAGCATTTAGAAAACTTTTGATTTCGACCTTCCTATTGTTCTACTAGATTCAGCTGTAACCAGTGCACTCCTAACCTAGAAAAAAAATAAACAATCTTTCTTGTGTTTTTACTTCAGAATTTGTTCTTTCTAACCAAACCCTTTACTCTTAACTCTAATCTTCTCCATTTTTCTCTGTCCTTTATATTCCTTTTTATGTGCCATTCTCTAAGTTACACAACTCAATTACTATCAGCTCTTACGATTACCCTACTTATATGTTTCTCAGCCTTTTGGCTTAAGATTAACCTACTTGTTTCTTTTAGGGGAAGCTTTCCATAGGTTTCTAAGGAAATTTGTCTGGAATAGGATTCTCGTTCAAGAGGGCAAAGCAGAAAAACTTGATTGATAAAGTATCACCTTTGGAGAGACACCAAACCAGGGTGCTCTCGAGGTTCAACTAACATATTTGCTTAGCAAAAGCAGGATCTAATCTATACATGGTTTGAACTTAAGACCTTCCTGTGGAGAGAAAGATAGGTGACTCATTGGCCAGTGATCAACTCAAACTTTGTTTGAATTAAATTGATAGCAAAACTTTCTGTCAAACTATGCCTTCATCTGTGCATGGTAAACTGAAGCTAGTGTTGATGTCAATAAGTTAACAATAATAATGCAACATAAGATTAATTGCCTGTAAATAATGTATCATCGGGTTTCTTAATTCATACACGTATGAAGAAATTTGGAAATGCTAAAACTAACAAATTGAAGGTTGTTTTTACTTGAGATCAGTAAAAGATATCAGATTTGTCAAAAATTTTCTGAAATATCTTATTCAACTCCACCTAGAAGCTTAATTTGACTGATCTCCTGTAACTCTTATGTCTTTTAACCATGATCTTCATGTAGCTAACTTCATCTTCCAGCAACTGAAGTACTTAGGTTTACCAAATTATCTCTGTTTTCTTCCTTTCTATTTACTTCTATTAGGTTAGCCGCTCATTTTGAGACAGCTGATGTTCCTATTGGTTGCTTTTTCTGCATGATGAATATATGCAGAGAGATAGAGATAGATAGATTGATAGATAAATAAATAAGTAGATAGATAAATAGATAGATAAATAGATTGAGAAAGAGAGAGAGGAGGGGAGAGAGTATACCTTGTTGTGACTGCTCGATTGAATCATCTTGTGCAGACCTTTGAAACCTCCTACTCTTGATCACCCCAGCAAATAATGCAAGCGAACCAAATCCCAGGGCAGCAATGGAGTTCTGCTACCAAAGTTACACAGGTTTGAAATCTTCGACTACATAGTGAAAAATGATTAGTTCATTGGTTTTCGTCCTCTTCTGAACTTGTCTCGTCAGTCTTTGTGATTTCTGCTAAGTTCAGATAACCAGTAAGCAAACCTTTACGTCCTAGAACAACCAGATCAAGGAGCTTTCTCCTCACAGTATAAACAGGATTTGGGTTGATCAAGCACCCCCTCTCATATGCCTCTCTAAGGAAAACAGTGTGTCTCTTCCCCTTGGTTGACAAATAAAAGATCCCAGGGTGATCCAAGAATAGATCCCTTATGTTCAAATCAATTCCAAAGCATTTTCTGAAATGGCTTATCTTCTCCACCTCCACCATCTTCTCCACTGTTAAACTTAAGAATTCATGAACCATTGCAACTGCTCGTTTCTCCATTCCCATAACTCCAACTTTAGACCCTTTCTTTTCACCTATCTCTTCATATGGCCCCACATAGGGCAACCTTTGCCATGCCTTAACTTTAGCCCTAAAATTCTTGCTCAACCTCATTCCTGGTGGATAACTCTGTTTGAAACTAAACTGCATTTCAGTTCTATCAAGACCACAATCTTCTTTACAGCACTCCACAACCCTCCAATTCTCCACAGCACTTGTAAATTGATCTCCAGGCATTCCATCAACCAGGTTCAGAATGTGGGTATTAGGCTCATGACCATCGCAAAGTCTAAACAAATGCGAGTTTCGGGATATAACTGAATCTTCAAAATCATCTGGCAGCCCAAGTTCCCTCCAAACTTTAAAAACAGCACGAAGTGGTAAAGATTTCGTTATTGACATGGACAGAAGCCTAACCAATCGATCACAACAGCCGGCAAAGTACCAACAATAGCTTGGGTTCTTGGCGGGAAATTTCATTAGCAGCATCAGTAATCTGCAAAAAGGACGGCACTTACTGGGTCGTAGAAAATATGGAAAATGTGGGGATATTTTCGGAGAAAAGAGGCAGCTCCACGGTTCAGGTGGAGCTTTTGGGACAGTCTGGAGAGGAAATCAAGGGAAACTGAAGGTGGATTGTTGGTGGGATTTGCGAGAATAAGGTCTTGAATTGCAATGACTTTGAGAAGGTTTTTATACTTGTCCATGAGCTTCTCAAACGTTGGGTCCCTAGCTCTTGACGCAACATACTGAGCAGAAGTCGTTTTGAATCGAATGCCAAAAGGTGAGCAACACTCCGCGTGTTGTGAAATGGATTTGGCGAAGTGGATTCTCATTTTTATACCCTAAAGTTCTTTAGACTTCGCTCCCTTTTTACACACACAAACACACCCTTCCCTGCTCTGTGAACTTTCTGCAAACATCTTATATGCACGACGGGAAGAAACTAGCAGCTAAAATCGCCATTAACTAATTTAATCTAATCTAATGTGCTCATTGAAATCCCCAAAAAAAAAAAAACAAAACAAATTAGCAGGCTAGAATGAAATGAGTTTTTCATATTTCCTTCATCAACACCCCAGGAAATTACCAGGAATCATGGAGTCTTTCTCGGTCTAACAGTTGAAAATGGAAGAAACTATAAAACTCGGAAATGGTATAAATGAATAGAGTTTCTTCTTTTCTGTCGAATGCTACTTTACTTCACTAAATCTATCAACAGATTGGCATGGATTTGTTCTGTGATCAAACTAAAAATTGCTGACTTTCTATTAAAAATCCAAAAGGAACGAACAAAGAATTAAGAGATTTACCGAGTTTGTTCTCCCTTCGAATACAAACAATGAACGGGCGGGGAAAAACCGAATGATACAGTGCCTGGCGAGAGGCTAAATCAGAGAACGAAAGGAAGGAACAGAGTTCGAAGATGCAAGTGCTGGTGGGTAACAGCGAAGGATGAAAACGGGCATGAGCTTCTTCATCCCTCGATCATGGTGGGTTCTCTCTCTCCATTTTTTAGTTACATAATTTTTTATTTTTTTAATAATGATGGAAATAAATGAGGAGTTTTTATTTAATTTATTTTAATTACTTAGGTGGAATTAAAATTTTATTTAATTTAAAGAAAAAGGTAATAATAATAGTGTAAATAACAATTACAATTACAATTACGCCATTCGGTTATTAATTTTTAAGGTTTAACTTGCAATTCTCATACACGTTTGTTTTTAGAAAATCAAATACTAATATTTTTTTAAAATTAGGTTTATGTCAAAGATTAAGAAATTTAATAACAACATATTTAACTATTACAGAAAATTAAAAATTTAAATTACAATAAAATCGAATCAGAGAGCTGAATTTTCACCTTCTGCAAGATGAAATTTACTTTTAAAGCCAAGAGATCAACCCAGACAAGAAGAGCCACAAGCAACAAATTGAAAGAAACCAGGAAGTTACCATGAAGAAATGGAGGTAAACTACATACAGATTCATTGACCAAAAAGAGCAATCTTCCACCAAACTGGTGATCTTAAATTACCTGTTTCAGATTTTTACAGATGTTCCAAGTTAAACAAGTTAGTCTCACAATACCCAGATGATGGAGGAAGAAAATAGTATAATAATTTCATCAAATCTTCCTCCATAACCATATCCTCTGGCACTTAAACCACCCAATTAATTCTACAATTCTCGAGTAAGTTTTTCTTCAGGTGTTACGAGTTAACAACCGGTTTCTTAGAGAAACATCATTGTCGTCTCAAGATGGCTACAGATTCCCACTCCAAACTACATATCACATCCTGCAATTTATACATATCGAACCATTAAAAACATGATCTTCAGCAACTTCACAAAATAGAAAGCAATCTAGGGAAAAAGACGTCACCGAGGGGTTATGCCGGTCTATGTCAAAGCTGTTGATAGCACATGGTTCTGCCAAGAGCTCCGCTGGTTGTTCACCTAGGCAGTTGGAAGATACATGTAATATATGTCAACCTAAATCTATGTTCTACAGTATTATTTGTTCAGAAAAGGGATGAGATGAGAGACAAAAATGTAAGTTTGCCAATGTTGCAACAAGTTAAAAGGATGGTATGGTTGATAATCCAGAAACATTTACGACAAGAACCTTATGTACCTTGTTCAACAACAGCAAGGATCCCATCTTCGGAGCAAATCATAGCAGGTAAAACCTTGGAAGATGAGATACTGGACTTTGTGTAGAGATCATATTGAACCTCCCAAACCTCACTTTCAGACAAAGGATGGATTGAATCCCCCTCGTTCCCAGCTCCAGATAGAAGAATTGGGTGTTGTTGCCACCGAAGATCCCAGACGAATACAGTACCTGAAGAACCTCCTGCCTATAAACAGAAGAATAGAAGATCAATAAAATACTCAGGAAACCCAAAGAGATAAACACTCTGGTTAGCAGCAAGAAAACTACACCTATATTTCAAACTACAATGCTCAGCCGGTGAAAGTCATGTACTATTTCTTCTGATGGAACAAACATGCAAAAAGTTTATGCAGCGTCAGGTTAATGCCAGTAACTACAAAAATCATATGCTTGGCAGTAACACCACAAGATTAAAGAGAACACATTAATGTAAGTTCATGTACTGATACATGATTAACTTGCTACTAAAGTAAAGTTGCAGAACACGACAAATTTATTGCATGAGTTTCCATTTTGAGTAAATCTGTCTAATACTTTAAGTATCAACCTACCAGTCAATATAATAATCAGAGGCTTAATTTATTTATATGCTTTGCTGCAGAAACTCGAAGATCATATACACTCTGTTGCAGAAACTGGACAAATGTATAATACTTAAGCACGCAATCAGCAGCAATAAGTTATTGAGTAAATAACCACCTGAATAGTGTGTTAAGGTGCACTCAACCACGGTAATAGTAACTATTAGATGGTACAATAGGTAACTTTTTTAGAACAAAAGAAATAATGAATTAACAGGCAACAAGGGGGTACACCCAATTACAAAAGAAAGGAGAAGTTATGAATTAATCAAATATCAATCAGGTTCACCAAGTCCTTTACAAGGTTGACTCTTGAAGAAAAATACAGGGCGTGAAACAATAAATCTAACTCTACCAAAAGAAAAAACAGTTTCCTAGACGCCTTTCTATTCCTATCTTTCCCAGGGAAAAAGCAGTAATTTCCACCATACAGGTTTTATATATCCTCTTCGATTTTATCCAGATAAGTAACAAATCTTTTAGCCGCAAAAGAAACAAAAGAAAAGATATGTAGATGCTGGGAAATGAGAAGATATAAATTCACATTTGCTCTTTGCAACAAATAATTTATCCAAAAATATATTTCCTCTACGAACAAAATATGAAAATACGATTATAAAGAAAGCCAAGAGAGACAGCTAAAAATGTGACATATGTTACACCTAAGCCCTCAACTGTCATTGTCCAGAGACAAAATGGAGGAAACAAGAGGGAAAAGAAGATGGGACCAAACAACTGAAAATTATCCACACACGAGCAAATTGCATAAATCGGTTCTCCAATGCTGAGAAAAATTAACAGGGTCAAGACCAATCTTACTAGACAAGTGTGCTTTCGTGACGGATGAATATCGACGGAGTGTACTATTCCAGAAATTTTTCCCTTAGACCTGAAACATTACAAACTTATGATACTCAGAACATACATCACCCAAAAAAATAGCAAGCAAAACTTCCTCACGTAGTGAGGTATGGCAGGAGGCATGGACTAAAAGAACCGTGTATTTCTTGCTATTAAGTGAATAGATTCACAAGCTATGCCCCCATGCAGATGAATACTGAGCATAATTGTTCATCAACTTCTGAGGTTTCCATATCTCGATTATCAAGCTAAACATCCGAAATAACATGCAGGAAAAACTAAATTTTTTGGTTTATATACTTCTAAATGTATCTAAGAAAAAAATCATATACAACAAAATATTGATCGAACGACTGAATAGTCGTTCATTGCGTTGCTTATTTATGTTTTAACATTTCAATTAACAATTTATAAGGTTCATAACATAGGCTGGAGAACTACTCCATTTCAGAGTTCATGAAACAGTCAGCATAACGAAACATGAAAAATGAACAAGAGGGAGGAACTCGATTGCCTCTATACTTCAATCAGGCATCGGATTAAGAAAGCATAAAACAGAAGTTCAAATTAGGGAGATTAAATTGAAAAACTCACCAGTTCCCTTTGAAGGTAGTAACCGCCGCACCAGGCTTCCTCTGATCCCACCATTGCAGACCAAACCCATACCCACCCGTCACAAACTCACTCGGCGATGCCCATTTCACCGCCGTATACCCCACCAACCCATTCCCATCAAACACCCTTCTGTATGCCAAACCATCACGCCCACCCCCACCAACATTAACCAGATTCACTCTCCCATCTTCGCCAACAGTCACGCATTCAATCCCATCCTCCCTCCAATCCACCGCCGCTATAGCCCCTGCGTGGAACCCTAGCCCCTGCACCACCGAAGCCTCCGCCTCCACGGTTGCCCCATCAACCAAATTCGCCGTCAAGACATGGACAGAGCCCGCGAATGTGGAGGCGGCAATGAGGGGCTTGAAGGAGGAAGATGGTCTGATGGTTTTAAGTGAGGAAACACGCGACGGCGGGATCCACGACGAAAGGGAAGTGAACGCTGGAGATGGATCGGCATCGAGAGAGAGGATTTCGAGGGAGGAGGTTTCTGAATCAAAATCGAAGAAGGAAAAAACCGCAAACCTGTCAAATGCAGAGATCGGTGGGAGCCATCGAACCGCATCGACGTACTTGGACTGAGGGAGCCTGTGGATCTGTAGTTGGGTCGCGGGTACCGCCATTGTTAGAGCTCCCGGGGGTTTAGCAGAAATGTTTTTCACAGGGTTTTACTTTTAGTGGGAAAATGTAAATTACAACGGATATCCTTTTACGTAAATACCCTTAACTTTCGAACAAAACCACAATATTACCCTTCATATATAAATCAACTTTTTTCTTCCGCATTTGATGTGTTCTTGACTGTTGATGTAGAAAAAATGTCAATCACACAAAAAACCTTTATCTTCTTCGTCACCGGCTTCAGTTCTCGTCTTTCTAGGAAGAGAAATTGCAGTAAATCCATGACCGTAGAAGCAAATAAGAGAAATTCGGATGAGAATAGAGAAAGTCTGCAACCTAGTTTCCCATTGAGAATTTCAAACACAATTCTTTCTCGATCAGTGGTTGCAGTGTTAGGATTAGGGTTCGTCGATGCCGGGTGAGTTCTTGTTTCGAATCATAATTTATTTATTATCATTATTACTATGTAGAAAAATATAAAGTAATAATTTAGAACTACGAATCTGATGAAGAAACGGCGGGTACTGTTTATAGGTACAGTGGGGATTGGTCAAGAATAGGAGTGATCTCAAAAGAGACTGAGGAATTGTTAAAGGTTGCTGCCTTTCTTGTTGTTCCTCTCTGTATTTTTCTTATATTTTCCTTGTCGGTTGAATCAGATGATTGAATCTTTTTCAGCAGGAGAGTGGGAATTCTATGCGTTTTGAGTTCATCTGAACTGTTGAAGATGAACATGCTAAATTTGTAACAAATTTAAAAATCTTATAAAATTTTATTTTTAAATTTACAACTATTAATAAATAAATAAGTAATGTAAAATCCTGTCAAACAAAAAGTAAATAATTTAACATTTAATTATAAAATTTTAAAAACTTTTATAAAATATCACGTAGAATCAAAATAATATATCATAAATTTTGTTAAAATTAATAAAATCTAACTTATATTTTTTAGTTTTATATGTAATTTTATTTTATGTTTATTTATGTAACTTTTTAAATTATGACACACACAAGTGTAGTTCGATAAGTTTTTGTAAATAAATAAATGTATTAATTATTAAATTAAGTAATAATTAAAAAATAAGTAATATGAAGTATATATTATTTTTAAGTCATATTTCAAAATAAATTAATTTTATTTACTGATTTATTTGAAAATATATTAATTCACAAATTATTATTCATTTACAATACTAAAATTTGACACCCAAAACTCTCTTTAAAATATGTTTATTATGATAGATTATAAACAAAAATAAATAAGTATAGACTTATAGAATAAATTTGTTCCTTGAGTATATTTGGTATAGTAAATGTATAAGTGACACGATTACTTATTTATCTAAATTTACTCTTCAGAGATTAAAACCCTTTAAAATATGTTGGCATACGTATTATATTTAGTATAGTAAATATATAATGACATGATTACTTATTTACCCAAATATATTATTTAGGGATTAAAACTCTTTAAAATATGTTAGCAGAAGTATTATACTCGGTATAGTAAATATATAAATGACATGATTATTTATTTACTCAAATATACTCTTTAGGGATTAAAACCTTTTAAAACATGTTATGTAAAGGCCCGCGATTTTAAAGAAAATGAATTTATAATTTAAATGCGGAAGCGAATAATAATGTTATAGTTTACATTCATTATACAATAAAATAAATTTGCCCAATAGAATTACGGAAATGTCATTTCTACATGGTTCATAAAAAATAAACGGTAATTAAAGAAAAACGAAGAAATAAGGCAACTTTCACTAGCACTTGAAGGGAATCCGGAAAGTAAACTACTCACAACATTCTTGCTGATCGGGATCTAGATATTAGTATTCTTGATATGAAATAGTTAATAAAATGGTGAACTACACTAGTCTAGTAAAAATATCACACTAATCACTGATACAAAAAATCGAATGTTGGTAAAAATCAGAAAATAACTAATAGATTTATCTTCGTTTTAAATAAATACATTTATCTTTAAAACTTTTTATTCGATACTTATCATTACGATTTTTTCCAAAATTAACCTATAAAGACACTTAACCAAATGATATTTTAATTTTATGGATAGGATCAGCAATCCTTCATTTTTAACCTACTTATTAGGACCCCTGGGGGTCTATAGAGATATCCCTCTACTCGTAGACCCAATATCAAGATTTGACAATTAACTCGATTGTACTCATACCCCGTCTGGTAATGGGCGCCAAAAAACACCATCATCTTTATACCCCGTTCGATATGAGGGTGAACAATGTCTCATAAATTCCTTTCGGTATGGGACTTCTCAACCTCGTCCAACTGAGATAATGTCCACAGTAGGGTTCCCTATGTACCAGGTCCGTCCACTATTTCCTAGGATGCCAGTAAACTTTCATTTATTTAGACTCTTATCATCCAAACAATCTCTAAACCATATCAACATCTCATTTCATATTCACATATTAATTCAAATGACACTTAAACAAGCGATATAGTTTAGCATAAACAAATAATCAATAGCCAGAATACCAAATAAACAATGTAGGAGGAACAAAATTACCAAATAACTGAGAAGACCATAAAAACCATCAATTCAATTACGTACAGTATAATAGTAAATAAATATAGATAGTACAGGAAAATAAATAAGAAATCAGAACATATGTGAACTAACCGGTTCCAGCTCCACTATTGACCTATAATATTTTTAGGTTCTTCTAATTTTTTTCACGAAGTACAATTATTGATTATTAATCTTTATTTTACCATAAACGAGAATAGAGTAAAGGATCCCTACTTGGATCGGTGTTTCAAAACGTCGTGCTATCTACTACGCTTCCTAATGGATCTCTAATTTTTTGAATTTTTCCTACGGGAATCTAAATACTTGTCACGTACCTAAAATAACTCTAAAAATCTAAAATCGGTGTTGAAAGTCCTTTCTGGCCAATTTTAGAGTCCCAGCATAGCAGCGTCGCCATGCTCCGGTGCCAGGTCCGCTGTTCACGGCAGTAGTTCGCCTTGGTCTAATCTATTTTGGCTAGTTTTACATGTTAGGGGGTCTTGATTGGCCAGAAAATAAAACAAAATTGAACCTACCGGCGGGGGGATCTTCATATTCGACTGCTCCGCCAGTTCTCCTTCGCGGCTAGGGTTTCTCCTTCGGCTAACATACACAGAAAGAGACGGTGAACACAACAGTCAGAAAATTGTGTGAAACGAGAAACGAAAAAGGGCTCATTAGAGGGGTTTTAGGGTTTCGATCGTGGCGGCTCCATCGAACTTTGCCCATAGTTTTTTGCCCACCCATCATTCCTTTTGCTCCGATATGGCTATAGGGAGACTTATAATCAAATTTCGAGCGGGTATGAGAGAATTTTACATTTTTTGGCGGTCGACAGTGGTTCCGGTGCAGTGGCGGCTGGGGATAGGTCTCTTTCTCCAGTGACTGTTCCTTCTTCTTTGGCAAGGGCAAGTGCGGCTAGGGTTAGGGTTTTCCTGCAATGTGATGCTTATATATTTATCCCGCATCGGTCTGGGTCGTCCATTCGCATCAACGTGGAGCGAGGAGAGTCGTCTGATCGTTGCCTGTTTAGGCTAATTGCGTGGGCGAATTTGGAAAGTTTATCGTGATTGATCTCTTCCATCCGATCGTGCTTATGGAGGGAATGCATCTGAGCCATTCACGCGTGTGGGATTGAATATAGGCCGTCGGATCGTTGGACACACGGATCACCTACGTGACCTCCCGTGTGGTACCAATGTCAGCGTATTTTATCATGCAGCGTGCTCTGATTCGTCGTGGCTGCTGACTGGACCGTCCCACATGCCCGAATTTCTCTTTTTGTATTTTGACCCTCTATTTTTAATTTTTCTTTCAAAAACACCCCCCGATTCAAAATTTCACCTATCTTCTCCCAATATGCTTTTAATTTTGTCTTTAACCTATTTTTCTCAAATAATTTAATAAAATTAAATTAAATTAATAGGTTTTTTAATTATATATGTATCTTTTATAAGTTAAAAAATTTTATCTCGGGCCCGGGTATTACAACTATCCCTCCTTTAGGAAAAAATTTAGTCCCTCAAATTTATCACTCTCTCACTTAGTCAAACTGTTGAGGTATTGGGCTCTGAAGTCCGATTCTAGCTCCCATGTGTTCTCTTTCTATGTGTGATTTTGTCATAAGACTTTGACGAATATGATTTCTTTATTGCAGAGTACTCTACTCTTTTGGTCTACAATGTCTATCGGTACCTCCTTATAAGATAGATCCTCTTGTAGTGAAAGGGACTCGTGAGACAGGATATGCGAGAGGTCCAGGTTGTACTTGCGTAGCATAGACACGTGAAACACATTATGGACTCTGGATAGCTCTGAAAGTAGTGATAGTCTGTAGGCGGACATACAAATCCTGTCTAGGATTTCAAACGGTCTAATGAACTAGGGATTTAATTTTTCTTTCTTACAAAACCTACTGATTTCCTTAAAATTGGTGACTTTAAGAAACAC